ATGATCTTTTGTTCATGTGGGTGCCCATATCACCTGAACTATTAGTACCACTCATATCCTGTGAGTGATCTTTCATTTCTCTCCCAGTAAACTCCTTCATGGAGGTGTGGGAGGAGGGACAGGATAATGGCTCAGAATCATAGAACATTAGAACATAGAATCCAGTAGAATATAAGTTCCTTGATGACAGAGACTAGTCTTTAGCACAGTGCCTTGCATGTAATAGACATAAATGCTTGCTCTTCATTTCGTTATATATGTATATGCATAAATATGTTTATATGTGTATGTCTATATGTGTGTGTGTGTGTGTGTGTGTGTGTGTATAGCTAGATGGCATAGTAGATATAATGGTGGGCCAGGAATTACAAAGATCTGAGTGCAAATCCAGCCTCAGACAGTTATTAGATGTGTGACCCTGTGCAAGTCACTTAACCACTGTCTGCTTCAGTGTCATCATAGCACTTACCTCCTCCTGGGATTTTGAGGGCAAAGTGAGATCATATTTATAAAATGCTTTGTAAATCTTAAAGTGCTATATAAATACTAGCTATTATGAGACAGAGAGATAGATAGAAAGAGAGAGAGAGAGAGAGATAGGGGCAGCTGGGTGGCGCAGTAGATAGAGTAACAGCCCTGGATTCAGGAGGACCTGAGTTCAAATCTGACCTCAGACACATAACACTTACTAGCTGTGAGACCCTGGGCAAGTCACTTAACCCCATTGCCTAGCCAAAGGAAAAAAAAAAAGAAAAGAATAAAACAGAAAGAGAGAGAGAAAGAAAGAAAGAAAGTTGTTCAAGGCCTGAAAGTCTTGTTGTTATATTATAAAGGCAGGAATAGACCAACAGGAAGAAAATGACTTTGCCCTTTAAACTTAACTTCATACTTGTATAGGAGAGCTGCCCTGGAACGCTGGGGACAATTTGAATTAAAGCTTAAGTTCAGGCTTGTATCCTGAGTTTCCTCCAAAAAGGGGAAATAGAAAGGTACTCAGTGTACAATATGAATTCAATATGGGACAGGTAATTTATTTCTATAAACAAAATAGGAATGCTAAGCATAAAAGACTCATAGTGCACATTGGCTGAATGACTTAAAAAATAGAATTCAGTAGTGGATATAGCACTGGCTCTGGAGTAAGGAGGACCTGAGTTCAAATCTGGTCTATGACCAGACACTTGACACTTACTAGTGTGACTCTGGGCAAATCACTTAACCCCAATTGCCTAAAAATAAAAAAATAAAAAAAATAAAAAATAAATCACTGACAGTGGCTAAGTAATCACATCTGCCAGAGTGTTGGTTTTGGGGTTTTGTTTGATTATCCCTCCATTTTCTTGGCCTGGTCACACATATTCCCTATGTGTGGTCCTTGTACATGTCCACTCTTCCCACTAATGGTGTGAGTATTTATAGGCTGGTGCATCCCGGGTATACAGGGAAGTGTTCTAGTACTACTTTTCTTACTATGTCATTTCATGAAATATCTTTGCATTGAACTACTTGCATTCTCTGGCTAGTAAATAAATTGGTGGATGCTTCTGAGCCATAATGTTGAGTGGATGTGGATCCATACCAGCTAGAGGCCAATTTTCTGGTGGCACCATGTTCAAGAGGGCAGTGCCCCAGGGACTAATAATGATAATAATAATTATAATAATAATTATAATAATAATAATTTATATAGCACCTACTATGTGCAGGCATTGTGCTAAGCACTTTATAAATATTATTTCATTTGATCCCCACAACAAACCTAGGAGGTAGGTGCTGTTATTATACCCATTTTACAGTTGAGGAAACAGAAGTGAACAGAGATTAGGTGATTTGCCTAATGTCATAAGGCAAGAAGTGCCTGAGGCTGCATTTGAATCCAGGCCCACTACTCTATTACTGTGCCACCTAGCTGCCAATCCATTCAAAGTACTAGCTAGTAGAGGCAGCTAGATGGTACAGTGGATAGAATGCTGGGCCTGAAGTCAGGAAGATTCATCCTTTTGACTTCAAATCTGGCCTCAGACACCAGCTGTGGGACCCTGGGCAAGTCACTTAACCCTGTTTGCCTTAGTTTCCTCATCTGTAAAATGAGCTGGAGAAGGAAATGATAAACTACTCCAGGATCTTTGCCAAGAAAACCCCAAAAGGGGTCACAGAAAGTCAGACACAACTGAGCAACAATTTTAAATGGAACTGAATGTAAAGCTCTAGAAGGGAAGATTTTGTAGATCAAATGGCTTTGCCCTTTTATTTTACACTTGATGAAAATCTGCTACAGTGTTTCTCTCTCTCCAGACCCCTCCTCTAAACTACCTAGTACAATGTCTTGCACCCATTAAGCATTTTTTAAACCCTAACTGAATGAATGCTTAATCTGATGGTCTACATACTGGACTTCCAGCCACCTAACAAAGCTCCAGCTCATCTATCTAGGAGTTTCATAAACAGGTCACCATTGAAGCTGTCACAGAAAAGGAGTGGCCCTTTCCTGTATGGGTGTGCACCAGAATTTATTTTGCTCTAAAAAGGCACAGTACGATACTTGTGAGTTTAGTCTCTGATATCTCCCAGAGAATTTTCTCCATTTTTATGTCAGAACAAAGACAAAAGTTAGAGCCATTTTTAAAGGTAATTAGTACCTTAACCAATATTAAAATTATACCCAGGATTATCTCAAGTGCCTTGCTTTCCCGGTCTGACTGGGATTTCACACACCTCCCAGAGAAATGGAGTCATGGGGTAGACTAATGGCTTCCCAAACAGAAAGTTGGAAGTCATCTAGAGAATAAAGCCCAGATCTCTCTGGCACACAGAATCTCCACTCCTCTGTCTTTCATTAGCCCTAGCCTTTCATCAGGACATTGTGATTGTGTTGGGGGCGGGGGGGGGGGGGAGTCTCAGAGGGACTCCAGCAAACTCAGACCTGCATCTTTCTCATAGGAAACCCTGGGAAGAAGCCCAATGGGTCCAGAGGGCTTGCATCTGACTATCAGAGTTGGAAGGAATAGCAGATAGCTATCTGGTCCAACACCCTTATTTTATAGACCACAGTGGAGCAACTAACAAGCTAAACAAAACAGCCAAGCCTGAGGCAGATTTTCATGGAAAAACCTGGTCTTCAAACCCTCGTTGCATCTCTGATTCATAGTGTGTTTGTTTGAGCAAATTGTTCAGACACACAGTCCCCTGGTCATTAGAATCCCCACATGTTATTATAAGGTAATCATGCCAATCTACCTTTCAAAAGGGAAAGGGAAAGAACAGTGATTGTGGAGTCTGACCGCTACTGACACTTTACTTCTTTGTTTGAACTTGCAAAAGTCATTTGTCTTCACAGGGCCTCAATATTCTTATCTTTAAAATATAAGGGAGGTGGTATGCCCAAAAGGCTATAAAACCATGCATACATACCCTTTGACCAAGCAAACCACTACTAGGTCTGTGTAGCCCAAAGAGATAAAACAAAAAAGAAAAGGGTCTATATGTACAAAAATATTTATAGCAGCTCTTTTAGTGGTGGCAAAGAATTGAAAATTGAGGGGATTTCCATCAACTGGGGAATGGCTGAACAAATTGTGGTATATGATTGTGATGGAATACTATTGTGCTGTAAGAAATGATGAGCAAGATGCTTTCAGAAGTATCTGGGAAGACTTATATAAACTGATGCGAAGTGAAGAGAGCAGAGCCAGGAGAGCATTGTACACGGTAACAGCAATATTGTAACGATGATCAACTGTGAATGACTTAGCTATTCTCAACAATGCAATGATACAAGATAATTTCTGACGGGCTTATGATGAAAACTGCTATCCATCTCCAAAGAAAGACCTCATGGAGTCTGAATATGGATCGAAGCATACTTTTTCTTTACTTAATATTCCTGGGATTTTTTTTTGTCTGTTTTCTTTCACCACATGACTAATGTGGAAATACGTTTTGCGTGACTGCATGTTTATAACCCACATCAAATTGCTTGCCTTCTCAAGGTGGGGAGGGGGAGAGGGGAGGAGAGGGAGAGAATTTGGAACTCAAAAATTTTTTTAAATGAATGTTAAAGATTGTTTTTACACGTAATTGGGGGAAAATTAAAATATTAAATTAAAAAAATAAGGGAGTTGGAACAGATGGCCTCTGAGGACCCTTCCAACTCTAGGTCTATGATCCTATGATGATAAGATGGAGTGAATATGAATCATAAAGCAGCATGTATAGCAATTATTTTCTAAATTTTTAATTAGAAGAGGGGCTAGAGAATGCGGAAAAATTAGCATTTTATCCTCTGTGGGGCTTACCAGTCCTCTCCTGCCATTTTGTATCAATTAACAACACCCACTGCATTCACTCATTCATTCATCCCCTATGCTTGGTTGCTGTGAGGGAGGCAAAGATGAATAAAATTTGGTCCTTGCTGTCAAGGAACTCACTGTCTAGTAAAAGAGATAAGACGCGTATAAAAAGCTAACTGACAGCACAGGGAAGAATATACATGTCAAATGAGTATTATAGATGCTTCAGAGGAATGATAGCTCCCTGGGGCCTGGAGCAGACAGGGAAATCTTCACTGAAGGGGTGGGACTTGAGCTTATTTAAATGGTGGAAGCTTAACAGATGGAGAGGGGGGAGAGGGAGAAGATATTTAAGATCCGTGGGGGTGGAAAGGATGTAGAGTAGGACACAGATGATGTGACTTGACCCAGATCACAAAGACTAGAACCCAGGTCTTAGAGGTAAAGTGTATTCCTTTCCGGTTGACTTGGCCCTTGATGCAGGAGTCGGCCCAGAGCCCAGGTAACCAATACCTCTAAATAGAAGGCCCTTTCATCGCCCACACTCTAGAGAAAACTACAATTCCCGTGATGCCTCAGCACCTGCGCCTGCGCAGGGCGAAGGAGCCTCCCTCAGGCTCTCTGGCTCCCTCTGGCGACGACTGAGCGTCAGTGCGGGGCTCCAATCCCCGTGGGGTGGCTGGGTTGCTTGCGAGCCCGGCTGTCGAAGCAGGCAGTAGAGTTAAGCGTCTCTGCTGCAGCGGGAGGGAGAAGACGCAGGAGATCGGACCTTGGTGGGGGCGGGAGAGGAGAGCCAGGGGCTGTTCCTGCAGCGGATCCGGCGGCCAGCAGTCTGCAGTGACAGCAGCGGCTCGAAGGAAGCCGGTACCGGAGCAAGGAGCCCCCGGAGGGGGGGGCTCAGACAGCGACTGCCGCAGCGATGGGAAACCGTGGCATGGAAGATCTGATCCCTCTGGTCAACAGGCTGCAGGATGCCTTTTCCGCCATCGGCCAGAATGCCAACCTGGACCTGCCGCAGATCGCTGTGGTGGGCGGCCAGAGCGCGGGCAAGAGCTCGGTGCTGGAGAATTTCGTGGGCAGGTAATAAGCCCGTCGCGGCACCCAGCCCGCGTAGCCCAGGCGCCCTCCTCTCCCTGCCCCAGCCTTGCCCTTCCCTCAGCCCGCCCCGTCTGGACCCGCCGGGCACTGCGCTTAGCCACGGGCCACTGCAGCTAGTCCCCCACCCCCGTCCCCTGCATCCCCGAGACGGGCACCCGCGCCTTTGCACAAGGCAGTGCCCCTAGCGTGGGCTTAAGGTGCCCCAGGAGTGGGTAGTGCCTCCCAAGGTGGGCACCAGACGTCCTCTCCTGCCCCCTCCCCTTGCAGTGGGCAATGCCCCTTCCCCCCTCCCTGCGCCGTCTGTGCGCAGCGCAGCGCAGCAGAGGGGGAGGGGGAAGGCTTGGACTGCGGGCTGCGGGGGCCAGGGATGGAAGGGGGAGCCGGGGGTGGGGAGGCAGAGCAGCTTCTCATCTTTTACTGAGCAGTAGGGAAGGGCGCCCTTGGGCTGCGGGCGGGTCACTATCAGGCTGTGCAGGAAAGAATGATATCTATCCATCTCTGGCAGCCGGGGCAGCTTTGCCCTCCCGGGCTCCCCTCTGGAGCTGGAGAGGGGTAAAGGGGGTGGGGGGTAATGGAGGGGGAGGGGTGGACACGACCGCTGAGCCACAGTTGAGAGATGACTAAGACTGGGAGGCAGGCAGCCCTTTGGGGAGGGGGGAGAGGAAGGAGAGACCTGGGAATCTGCGGGAGCCATTTGAAGCATCTAATCACTCATCCGAGTAGCTTTATCCCAGGGAGGCCTGGACAGACCCTAAGACTAGAAGGGGAGACCGATGACACTCTCTCCCCTCCTTATGAAATAGAGGAGGGAAGCAATGACCTCCCCCACCCCCCACCTATGAACCAGGTGGCCTTGGAAACAAAGGGCCTGGGCTTATGTAATTATTGGGGAGGCAGAAGGTTAGACCCCCGCTGGAGCCCTCTCCATGCCCAATATATTAACCCGTATGTCTGATGGCCTGGAGAAAGCTAAGGGGATGACAATAGTGGTAAAAAATTGATTGGTGATTAGACTGGGGTAAATGGTCTCAGGATCTTCCTTTCAAAGAAAGAGATGTGGGGGAGGGGGATTCTCTCTCCAAGCTTTCTCTTGCCTGGGATGCAGATTGTGTGGGCTGTAGAGATGAATTCCAAGGGAGATGGCTGCTATCTGGTCCTCAGTCCAGGTAGACTTGCCTGATACCTGCTCCCCTCCCCCTGTCTAATGGCTTTCTCCTGCCTCTTCTCATCAGCACCTTCAACATCACTTCCCTCCCCTTTCTTTTCATTAGCAGCCCAATTGGGCTCTCATTCTGTGACCCTGGGCTTCCAACCACAATTCCCTTCAGATGACCTTCATGGCTAGCAATGGTGTGGCCTGGACTATTAAAGGGGATTGTAGGTAGGGGAAGCGATACACACTCCTACTTTTAGTGTACATCTTTGTCCTTTATGGACTGTCTAGGAAGCATCTGTATTCTCTCCCCAATGTTCATTAAACCCAGAAGGGTTAAAGCTCCCTGCTAGCCCCTGTCTGAACACAAATAAATCTCATATCCTTTACAGCGACCCTCAGGGGAAGAGAGAGAGGGGAGAGTCTATGAAGGAGGGAGTCCTTCTGCAGAGGAGCCTCTATACACCAGAGAAGAAAGCCCTGATTTTGGGAAAGCCCCTCCTTCTCCCCCCAAAGGGCCTAGACTAGGCTGGATCAGTAGATTGACAGCTCCTTGGCTTCTGCATATTTCCCCTGGGCTCATGTGACTCAAGAGCCGCAGAGATAAGGACTAGAGAGAGGCATACACAGATGATCCGAGTTGGTCCCAGAGCCTGGGGTGGGGGCTGAAGGGATTGAAGGAAATATCTTAGATCTTCCTTTGCCCTTCCCATCCCCATGACTGCCCTGCCCCCCACCCCGAAAGTATATCATCTTCACTTGGTGGCCAAAGGTTTCCGAGGAGCAGGTGGCCCCTGTGGTGCACAAGGTACAGTGAGATAATACTGTGAGGTCAGCACAGGGAGATATGAAGTACATACAGTAAGTGTTGGGGCTGCCTACTCGGGGTGGGGGCCAGAGGAAGTAATAAAAATTCACATTTAAATAATGTTCGAAGACAGTAGTTCTCAAGTGTCTTCTGGGGACCCCATGGGGGTTCCTGAGAACCCCTTTCAGGGACTCTTCAAGGTCAAAATTGTTTTCAAAATAATAACAATGTATTTTAATTTCTAATATGATAAATGTAGATCACTATAACCCACATAAACAGAAGCTCTTTGGGAGAGGTCCTCAATCATTTTTAAGAGTATAAAGGGTCCTGAGATCAAAAAGTTTGAGAACTGCTCAATTGTATAGGTATATTGCACTACCTACCTCCATGAGGTAAGTACAATTATTATCCCCATTTTACAGATGAGGAAACTGAGACCTGGGTTAAGTGAAGAGAAGATGAGGAGATGAGGAAGAAGAGGAAAGAAACCTGAGAAATCCAAGTTTCTTGTTGATCTCAAATCCCTTAACAGATCTTGAGTCTTTTCTCTAACTCTAGGAATAATAATAACAACAACAATAATAGCAAATATTTATATAGCCCATACTATTTGTTAGGTACTGTGCTCAGGGGTTTACAATTATCTCATTTTAATCCTCATGACACCCCTGGGGGGAGTAGTTGCTTTTATTATCCCCATTTTACAGATGAGGAAACTCAGGTTACATAACTTGCCCAGGGTCACCCAGCTCTGAGGCAGGATTTGAACTCGGGTCTTCCTGATTCCAGGCTCAGTGCTCTGTCCACTAGACCACCTAGCTGCCCCCAAGTAAATTCCTCTCAACTCCTAGGGGATGGTGTCAGAGCTAGGGATATGACCGGACCCTGGCCCATAGCTCTTATTCCTCTGTAGGACTGACAGCTGATTAAGACACTGGGTTCTGGCTTATCCTCTCCCCTCTCTAGTTCCCAGGTAGTCCCTGCATTTCCGCTTGATGTCAGCAGGCATGGGCCTGTCTCTGGGTTTGTGTGCATGGTGATGAAGCCAGGCGGTGAGACTCCCTCAGGACCAGGTCTCCCTTCCTCCCTCCTCCAGGGAGGAAACAAGTGATGGAGCAGAGGAAACAAGGAATTCTAGGTGTGATTGAGATTCAGGCTTCTGGGACCCCAGTCTAGAATCCAAGATAAAGGATCATCCTTTTAGAGCTGGAAGGGTCATCTCCTCCAACCCTCTCATTTTAATAGATGAGGAAACCAAAGCCCAGAGAGGTTTAGTGATTTGTCCACAGCCACACAGGAAGGAGCAGAGTCAGGATATGCACTTGGGTTCTTTATCCCCAAAGTCAGCATTCTCTCCACTCTATCACACTACATAGAGCTGAGATTATGGGTATAGAGATACGCCTATCTCTACACACTAACGAGATTATTAGAGGCTTCACTCTATAGGTGGGCCAACTGAGGCACGAAATAGGGAAAACTCTGTTTTATCCAGCCAATCAGTGGTTGAGCTGGGAATTGTGACCTTCTAGCCTGACCTATATATTACTTTTGTGTGCCTTACACCTCCTTCCTGTTGGTGAGGGGGGTTAGGGCCCACCTTCTTGTGGGCTGCTTAAGACATGCGACAAATTGTAACTATAACCCAGAGATCTGCCATCTCTCTTCCCTTTCTCCCGAAGGTAAGGGCCCCACCCTGTGCTCCTCTGTTTTGCCTTTCTTTGACCTGGGTCTGGGATGTCTAAGAATGAATCTGGCAGTTTATTCATTGGTCCTAGTACTGACCAGACACTCAGTGACCTTCTTCCTCCAATTTCCCGGGTATAACACAGAGTCCGCCCAAGTCCACCAAGGGTATGCCCCTTTGGCCATGCCTTGTGTCTTCCCTATGATTCTGGGAAGCAGATTTTCCCCTAGTCCTGGGACAGCTCAGGATAGGGTGGCATGGGATTTAGGATAGCCTACCTGGGATACGTCTTCCCAGCCCAGTGTTGAGACAGAGGATGAAATGGTGCAAAGGCCTCCTGGAAGCCACAGCATAGAAGGGCAGCAAAAAAAAAAAAAAAGGAGAGAGATGCCCCATACATTTAGAGTCAAAATCCAGAGAACCAGCCTGGAAACTGCAACACCTGGGTTCCCAAGTGAATCTGTTTCCTCTCTTAACTCCCTCCATCCTTTCTAGAACTGGGATAAGAAACCAACTGGCTTTTTTCTGGCCATCATGGTGAAGGAAAAGAAGATAAATGCATGGAAAAGAACTGATCATGTTCTAATGTGATCAGTTCTCTTTCCGTGCATTTGTCTTCTGTGCTAAGTGTCTTCTGAGCTGTCCAGGTGAAAAGCACGGTCAAGGTTCAGAGTAGAGAGGGCATGGATAGCTAGGCTGGTCAGGGAGGGCTTCATGGATTTGGGTTCCCTTTGGGCTTTATCTCCAGGCCCACCAATACTGCCTGATTGGGGGGAATTCCTTAGCTGGGAAATAGGTCCCCTCAGACTTAGCTGTATCCTGCAGGACCAGGTCCTGCTTTCCTTCCCTGTCAACCCCAGCAACTAGATGGTCCAATCAGAGAACACATCTTGACTCCCCCTACCTTCCAGTCCATGTTGCAGCCATGAGAAACATACTCTGCATATGTTTACTACTGTGCATGAAACATGCTTGGCATATGCACTTGGAACATGCTAGGAGTTCCATATGCCTACTAGGCATTCATATGCTTAACACACTCTTAAACATTAAGTACACAGGAACAAATCCCTTCCCTACCCCCAGGAGAAAGAAAAACATGCAGGAGACCTATCCCTCAGATGGCTGGGTCAAGGAAAGCAGAGATGAAAAATGACCCATGGAGGACAAGGACCCCGAGGAAAATGGAGCTGATCAGGGGCCGATAGGAGAGTCACCGAGAGAGTCAAGTTTCTTTAGGCTTGGCTAGGGTCATTGGGGCCAGGAACGCAAGGAGCTGGGAGAAGGGAGGGCCTAGAGCTGTGCCAGCCAATGGGCAGGAAGGGCAGCTA